GGGTGAAATTAAACTAACGTGGGATAATTTCGGAAGCAACATTTGTTCTAATTAAAAGATGAGTTTCTTCTTCGAGGCTATTTTCTTCTATTAATTTTGAATGTTTTTTACGTGGCGGTCTCAAAACCCAACGTACAACCCTACGAGGGATGTTTCGCCTTTTCACTTTAGCTCGCCTTCAAACGGATATTTTTTGGTTACACAATTGATATTATATTTGGTCTAAGATTGGAAGCCGTGAGCTGCTTCAGACATATGTAAAAGAATTATTCTTAGCCATTCCCAAGTGAATGTCGCTCGGAGAATTTTTCTCACTTCCGTGAACATGGCTCCATGTAGTACCCGTCAGGAGAAGCATAGGAAGAAGAAGACATCCACTCCGTTATAAAGAACAGGTGGGGAAGGATCTGACTGATAATCTCCAATTGGCACCAAACAGCAAGAACGTGGCTCGGCTATAATTGCGTAAGCGGTGCCTACGTCAATAAAGAAGAAGAAGTTTTTGTTACCTTAAGAATTGAGCACCGTTTATTTTCATAAGTCAATTAAAAACCATGCGTGAGACCTTTTCTTCTGTCGTTTAGATTCTGTATCCGCTTGCCATAGTTTGATCACAGCCTCTTTATTGGCGCTCGTTCGGAACACTTATACCTAAAATAAATCATGCTTCACTCTCCGTCTCGCTTCAGTGTTACTGCTATATAGAGACTTAGGTATTGAAATTTTCGGGTTCACCTTTCTGCCATTATAGACATTATACTAGTTCCCGGCCGGCCTACCTGTAGTTACACCAAAAAGCACTATACATCCGTAGAATATTTGACTAGAGAAAATTGCTATATTTTTGCTTTGCAAAGTTGCTAATATAGATTCTCGGCTGTCCGGGTCAAAACCTCGCGAAGAACCCTTCTTTGTAAGGTCTAGTTTATTAAATCCATAATTTTTGCATTAAATTGAAGGTTTCATTAAGCTCAGTTAAAACGATCCGATTTATGTCGGAAATTCACTGTTTTTCTATAACTGGTTACCATTTTTAAGGTGAGTTAATTAACCACTCTCTTAAAAACTCTGGTATTTATTCGCAAAAAACTGGGATAGTCGATTTTTTCAGGCTTCTTTTGAGGCGAATTTTTCACCAGCAAAATCATATGCCATAGACATAAATAAGTATAAATCGCTTAGTGCTATGTCAAGACTATAAGGGGAATGTATAAAAATTTCCCAACCAAGATCCCAGAGCTTCTACGGAGTTACTATCGATGTGTGTGGCCTGACGTCGTCTTGATGGAGCAAAATTCCACTCCTGATGGCCAAAGCTAGTCGCCTCTGGGCCAATTCTTGACAGTTCAGATTCAGTTATGTAGGAAGCATAGCAGATGTAGGAAGATCCCACCAAACTCATAGCAAATCTTTCCTGATCATCAAACCTGGCCATCGCTTATGCTGATTCACATCAATTTGAGCAAGACCGTCTTAACATTCATTAATCATGTGCTTCAGTAATTTATAGATTTTGTTGCCATTCAGCAGCTATTCGCAGATGGAATTTCGGTACATAAGGTTTTTTTCCGTCGTGGCACCCATACATCGAGTTCTTAATGGTTATTACGGACCGATATCTGTGAAATTCTCATATTCATTTCACTTCTATTCTTAATTTAGTATGTCCAAATTTGAATACATTTCCTGTATGAGAATGAATGAAATGGTGTACTAAATGGGCATTAATTGTGTGTGCTTAAAGACATACATATACACACGTATATGTACAAATATCACAAAACATCCCAACTATATATTTGTATACACTATAACCGCATGTGATTATTAGCGTATTCATACCTACCACTTACATATGTATATACGCACACTTATCACAAGTATTTGTAGGTTCGACAGGGCGTATGCGTAATGCGTTGCAATTTGTTTGACATTAATGGCAACCGGGTTGAGCTAATCTAATCAAATCAATAAATATGTCCGTATTCAACTCATTTTCAGTGTTTTGAGCCGTTTTGCTTCCAAATCGTGTTAGTTGCTTGATTAGACTGATAGTAGTTAGAAGAGCATGAATATAGAAGAATGTGAATATAGATGATTGACTTAAAAGCCCTCTGTTGTTGTTCTCCTTCGGTAATACTTATGTATATGTATATTAACAATATATTCGTATATATCAGTTAAATATTATCTCAAATTAAATTATATCACTAAACGCTATTCAAAAATTGCTTACCTTGAAGCCTACCAATATTACGCACACTACTTTCTAAAACTTTTACAGGGTTTGTCCGGAAAGTAATAGGACTGAGTCAATTAAAAAAAATTTAATGAACCAATCGTTACAATTCTTTAAAACCTTTCAAAATAGGCTCCTTCTGCATTGACGCAGCGCTGTCAGATCGATTTCCAAGAATTGAAGAAGGCATTCTCCGGATTAGTCTTAAGAGCCGAGGCGCATACTGCTTGTATCCCCTCTGTCGTCTCAAAATACTTGCCTTTCATCGGCCTTTTCAGGCAAGGAAACAAAAAAGTCCGGAGGACCACATCTGTGCTGTTGGCAGCTGCGGAAGCGTTGGGATGCCGTCCTTGGTTAGTTAGCCGTGCACAAGAAAGGCGGTGTTAGACGGGGCGTTGTCGTGGTGCAACTTTCAATCGCTTGCGATGTCTTGAGGGACCCGATTGACCCTTCGTTTGAGTCTCTTGAGGATGGTCTGAGTTCAAAACTATGCGCATACGAGTCACATTGTCGGTGTTTGTCGAAGTCGCAGGTCTCCCAGCACTGTTTTCATTAGCGACGTTTTACCGGCCCTCTTAAAAGCCCTGGTGCCACAGAAACACACCACTTCTTGCTAAAGCAAGATCTGGGTGAGCCTGCTTGATCGATTCGATGTCAAAACTCCTGAAGACAAAAAAATCTTCAGGTATCAACTTATTATTCTTGATATAAAGCTTTCACGGAGCCAAATGTTGTTGAGAAAGCAGAAAGGATTAAAAGTAGAATGTTGCATTATATTGCTGTAGAGGAGCTATGGGGAACGGGGTGGGACTCTCATAATGTTCTATGGTGTATTTGTTTGGAGGAGGGTGCTGGAGAAGACTACGCCTGCTAAGAAGCTTGAACGTTTCGCGGCTCTTATACAAAACTCGGTGCACTGCGAACTACCCAGCAACAGCATTTTATTCGATTTTACACACAGCAACTGTGAACATTACGGACAGGTGCATAACTGCGAAGTGCGCCTTAAGGCTGGGCATATCAAAGCCTTCGGAATCACGGCGGCTTTTTTACTGCTCACATACCAAACGGGAGATATGTGGAAATGAAACATTCACTGGAGAAGAGACGCAATGAGCTTTTTAACGGAAGGGTCGAAGCTGGGAGGAAAGGTTGGAGTGGGAATACGAAGCTCTCCGTCAATTTTAGCTCTAGGACGTAGGACGTAGAACCTCTTTAGTAATTTTCAAGCAAAAATAGCAGCTATTACGGTGGACGTAGACGTACTGCTGCGAAGTGCAGCCCCTTTTAGGAAGACGGGTATTCATTCCGACAGCAGAGCGCTAGAGTTGCTAAGTAATATCATCAATCTACTCAGTATAATCTCAATATAATCTACTCAGCATCAGATTAACCGGGTATCAGGTTTGCTGGCAACTGAACCAATTCGCCAATCAGGCGGCGGTCGGTGATTCGCTCTGTGCGACTGCAAGGTCCGTTTGGCCTATAGTAGAACGAAAGACATCCTCTGAACTTACTTACTGGACATGGCCGAATAGGCATTCAGGCGGTAAGGCTAAAAGTCTTTACGAACTCTATTTTTCAATGTTGTGGAGGGGAGGTGGAAAGATTAAGTAATTTTCAATAAATTCTTTGAAAGACTGAGGAGGAAACATCTCGAGAGTCTGACCTTCGGCAAGGTAGGAGATAGACGAAACTGACATTACTCGTCTCAAAAAATTTATGATAGGTTCAAAGCGGTTTGCCGATTTTAAGGTTCTTATGATCTATTGTATAGAACGTACCTTGCATTCTAAGCTGTTCAATTGAGATGCCTGTTAAGATCAACTTAACCTAGCGTTCGGCTTTAATAAAAAAATCTTCGATTATGACTGTTTTGTTCTCTAGATGGTCAAAGGAGTATGAATGAAGGGTTATATAAATAAGTGCTGAATTTCGTCATCTAGAGGTCATCTACAGGAAAAATCTGACAGCAAAGACTTGGACATAGTTTTAGTCTAAACGTACTCGTTATATCAATATATTACTGAGCTGACTAGATCTTTTCCGATTCTATCGAGGCAACTGATGACGTCTTTAAAATTTTCCCAGTTTCTATCGAAGAATTGATGTGCTTTGCGTATTTTTCCTGTATAACGGTTACTTCTGTAAAACGTTTATTCATGTTATATATACATAGTGTTTGGCAAGCGGCTGGTCAATAAAGCTGCTGCATGAGCGTAATTCGAAGTGAACTCAGCTCCACGTTCATAAAACTGATTGTATCAAGAAAAAAAAAACTCAATAATTAAATTCGGAATTTCGAAAAATCTAATATGAGTTCGTTCGATTGAAACCAAACTATAACCTTCCTTCTTTGCTTGTTTTGAATCTTCCCTTTCACTAACTTGAATTTCCAGCTGCTTGCTTATAATAAATTTCCAAGTACAAAATGCAAGTTGCAAGAAAACAAGGGTTAATTGTACGAAGAACTAATAAAAATTCCACCACTTGTGATTAGAAGCTGTAAAGAGAGAAAGATCGCTTCGATGCTTAGTGAAAATCAATTATAGTTGAAAAGATGGAAAGTCAATAACTCGCATTAAAAACCATAACGGTCAACTTAACATTTGCTGAATATAAAACAACAAAACACAAAAGAACAAATGCAACAAGAAAATACAAAAACAACAATTTGAAACCTGAAACAACGCATTTAAACACAAAACAAAGCACGCAACACTGACAAAAACGGGTATAAACCAAGAAAAGTAAAGCAAAACCGAAATAAAAATGGCGAATACCGCACAGCTTTTGCGGCGACAGAGTTCGCGAGACTTCGGTGGTGTATTGAAAAGTCAAAAGAGCATTGATCAACTGGAACTACGGGTGAGTAGCTGAAAGGCAGACTTCCCTGCCCAATTAAGCGCATTATCCAAGTGTTTGATTTCAGGAAGTGCCTTGTCCGGTTTTAATCAACTTTGTTAATTAGCTACCTCGTTAGCTCAATTCCTCGACTTACTCTTACAATTTGTTTGACTTTGCTGTTCTTTTTTTTGTTTGCATACTCGTTAGGAAATGCGCGGTCGTTTGGTGCCCAAAGAACACCATACGAGCGGTACACATCATCATCCGCATCCCAGCCATCACCATCAACCCATGTATGGTGCCACCAATCAGGCGTTTCTCGGCGATGCTTTTGACGAATCGACTGAATTGGAACCCGATAGTTTCGGTGCGCAGGCGAGCACGAGCAAGTCAAAAGCAGAACTGGTCGCAGCAGTCTCGGCCACAGTGGAGGCACAAGCAGAGGATATTGTTGAGGGCGAAAAAGAGGGTGAAGAACGTGAAAGTTGGGACAACAAAATCATGTTTCTACTCGCCACAATAGGGTAAGTGAAGTGTGACAGCGACATTGATGGCGTTAAGAGCCGTGGAAATAACACTCTACTGGTATTTATGTTCATTCACATAATCGCAAAGTGTGATGAAGATGACGTCGATGAGAGTGGTTGTACAAAACTGTTGAATAATTGTATACAAAATGAAAATAATATTTTGAAAGGAGATGAGGAATACCTCATTACCCCCCCACCTAATTCGAATTTTGTTGAGGGGTGTACTTGGTCTGTAAGTACTTGGAATAGAATGTCTCTAACCAGACTCTGTATAATATGTATGACTTCTGATGAAAAGTGGGAATGTTACATAAAAAAATCATCTTATTTCGTCTTCTCAGAGCAATAGTTACTTTTAAAGATACCAATATAAAATTTTTACTGATGCAGACCACTATTATTAGTACTCTGTTTGTGGCTGGACTTGCATATGGTCTAACGTAATAATTTAATATTAGCAATATTATCAAACAAATTTCGCGGATCATTGCTGTTTAACCGTCGAGCTTATTGCAACTAGTACATTCTCGAAATCTTTTGTCTAGTAGAGATGAATTCGGAGTAATTAGTATGACTGTGTTCAGCCTCCTTTTTTTTCTGAGAAGCGTATAGTAGCAAGATCTCTCTGGCTTGACAAGTAGAGTTTTAGGCTACTGCGCTTTGGTATTCATATAGTGTGTTTAATTCTTCATTCGAAGCCAAACGAGATCTATAAATGATCTGGAAAATAGGTCTATAATTGGACACCCACTTGTTCACAGAAGGCAAAGACTGTCCAACTAGGACTTAAAAAGTGTAACCCACACTAAATACCTCGAGAAACGCAAACCAGTCACAGGACTCTACTATGCCGCATTATTTAAAGGATTCGATTACGCGGTATACACCCGAGGCTGTCGTTTCTTTTTCATAGGGGCCATTTTTAAGCGACGTGTCCTAAACCCAGCGCACAACTCTGTGGAGGGCGAAGGCCTTCTCACTTTAGCTTGTCTTCAAATGGTATATGTAAAAGAATCGTTTCGGGCCACTCCCAAATTAATGAAAATCGCATCGTTTTGTTAAAGAAGCTTAATTCTCCGTCGTCATGGCCAAATTGCTCGAATGAGCCACGAACTCCTGCTCCAATCTCCATATCTCCAGATTTTGGTACGTGCGACATACATTTAGGCATTCTGAAACTAAGGTGACTTCGTATGCCATTAGTTTTTGAATATGTCTGATAATCTAGGTTAATAGAAATTAGTTGTGTGGATGCAGGTCATTAAAAGAATTTTTTTAGAACTTTGTAGAATGTTTAAGTAAATAATTGATCCAAGAAGTGGTACATAAATAATAGGCAAGTGCTCTTCTAGTGTTGGGAGTTTATAAATAATATAAAGATCTATGGTGAAATAATATAGAGCTTAAAAAAGTCATCGTGATTCTAACGATTCCAAAATTTAGAACATAATTCTAACTCTTTCTATGAGTACGAGTTTTAATATCAGCTACTTATGTACTCATCACTAAAAAAAAAAGAAGCAGTAAAATATGCATTTAATATTAACAATTCTAGCTATGCCGTTGGCTTGGGCAACGTCTGGCGGTTTCCTTATTTGGCGCAAAAGAATGGCGGCGGTGCTTTCCTCGTGCCATATTTCATAATGCTGTGCATACAGGGCTTGCCGATATTCTATCTGGAATTGGCTGTAGGCCAACGACTGCGCAAGGGTGCGATAGGTGTATGGAGCCAGGTAAATAGTGGCGCATATATAATAAATCAGAAAATAAATGCTCTTATAATTTATTTATTCAATTAAGTATCGCTTACTCTTTCATTCTTTTGTCGCTTAGGTCTCTCCGTATTTGGGCGGCATTGGCATCTCATCCGCAGTTGTCAGTTATATAGTCGCTTTGTATTATAATACCATAATTGCCTGGTGCCTCATATACTTGTTGCACAGTTTTGAGTCACCTTTGCCGTGGGCCGATTGCCCCACACGCCTCTATGCCAATTACACTTATGACCATGAGCCGGAATGTGTGGTAAGCAGTTAACACACATAGAGCACACTCACACACATCCATCCAGATTATCGCATTTGCCACACTATGCTCTGACATAATTATGAACATACGCATAAACATACACCCACATACATCCACATACACATATGAAGGCGAACAATAAACACCCTTTATTCGAGATCTCATAAAACTACATAAATTGCGTTGACTTCGAGAATCGTGGGTAAATTACTAGTACTACTATATTCATACGTAGAAATAAGACACGATTTTAATTAATTGAAGAGACTAAACTGGCTTTATTTTTGAAACATTGAAATCTTCCGCTACAAACAAACCATCCTCTCACAGAAATGAATGAGCATAGAAAACAGAATATAAAAAACATTTTATGAACATAACGACATTCTTGAAACTCCCCACGTGTAATTAAGAACATTATGTAGATCAACAAGCTAATACACTTTTCAAACTTTCAAGTCTACAACAGTTCCAAAAAATAACCTAAAAGTAAAAAAATTGATTTCTAAAACTTTGTTTCATTGAGACTCTCTCATGCCCTGGTGCTACATAGCTATTGTAAGACCAATTCTACTCTACGGTGCAGTAGTATGCTTGACATGCGCACGAAAATCCACCTACCAGAAGCCCATGGAAAGGGGTTTAGAGGTTCGATGCGCTATGCATAGCGGGAGTTTTAAGAACAACTCCAACGGCGGCTCTTGAACCGGTGCTAAACCTGCCACCTATAAATCTGTTCGCTGGAAACTTTGCAGAAAAATCGACGGGACGACTACTGGCTGCAGTAGAATTAACATATAGAACCTCGGTGTGTAATGGCAGTTAGGCAAAGACTGCCCAAAATGATACCACTTTTCAACTGGTAAAGAAAATTCAAAGTAAATATAGAAAAAGATGGAAAAGGTATGTTAGTTACGCGCAGCACTCTAAACATCTATAGCAGCCTTTCAAGTTGGCAGACTACGGCCGTATATTTTAAGCTGAGGCCTTTACTATTGCGAAAGCTGCAGAACTGGCCTCTAATGCAACTGCCGGCAATTCCATGGTGAATATCTACGTAGTCAGCCAAAAAGCAATCAAGGCAGTAACCTCGTATCGCACATCGACCAGAAGTGTCTTGGGAAGCAGAGCAGCAGTAGAAAAGTAGCAGTTAGAAGTAAGCAACATCACTACTACTGGGTGCAAGGCCACAAAGACATCGAGGGCAACGAAATAGTGGACGAGATTGCCAAGAATGATGTGCAGATAACACCCGATCAACATTGGGAAACTCATGCATTGCGTATACAACGATTTGGACAGAAGCATGGTAAAGAAAATTGAAACCTGATTAAACGAGCTACCTGATTGCAAAACTGCAAAAGTCGTGTGAAAAAAGGTAGATCGGAAGTGCACACAATACCTACTGGCACTCGATAGAATAGACTACAGAAAAATGATCGGAATACTAACTGGTCACTGTCTGCTGTCGATACACGCCCGCAAAATGGGACTGACAGATCGAGGAGACTGCACGAAATGTCTAGAGCAAGGCACCAGAGAAACAATGGAGCATCTCTTGTGTACTTGTCCCGTATAGGCAAGACTAGGCTGTAAGCATCTGGGGTACCCACGGTATGAATTCCACCTGCTAAGGACCAAAACTGGTCTATGCGTGGCTTATTGGCCTACGAGATTAACCTAACCTAACCTAATTACTGATACGTACTGTTGATTTGAAGAAATTCTATAGCTTCTTATGAACAGACATCTGACGTAATAGTAGCAGGCAAATTTTCCGTTTTACGAAAAGTAATAGTAAAACTGAAACGATTTCGCATAACAGTCTTAGCCTACTGACGACAGTTGGATCGGTAGCCGAAGAAATCCGTTTTTTTTTTTCTGTCAAAAACTGTCCATTAGGTAATATTTATCCAATTTTGTTGAGGAGTTGTTGTTATTGTAACCACAGAGTTCTGCCGAGGTGGTAGGCCTAAGCTGGACAAAAACCCGCGTCCGTTCCGTTTACGTAGACCGACTGTCGTGGGAACAACTTGTCGGGGAGTGTATTCTGTCGCTTCAACTTGATGTTAAACTTCCGTTTCTTCAAATAATTTCTTGTATCCTTAGTCGGAGAAAATATTTGGCTCAATCTGTTAATCTTGACATTGTTACCAAATAATATTTAATTTTTTTGTTTTTTAAGTATTTGAATAATAATTTTATAGTGAATAATTTACTTAAATTAGTGTGCTTACATACTTAGCATTATCATACAAATTTGGTCACAAACATAACCGCACTTCCACATAATTATAGCTCCAAGTTTAAATTAATGCAAATATTTACATTACAATGACCACAATTAAATTTATTACCAATATGCCAACCCACACATATACATAGACACATATTATTATATAAGCATATCATATTCATATTCAAATATTTGTCTGCATTTTATAGGCCTCTTCACCAACGCAATTCTACTGGTATCGCACCACACTTCAGTGCTCCGAAAGCGTCAATGAGCCAGAAAATTTTAATTATCACATGGCTATAGCGTTAATAGTTTCGTGGTTTCTCGTTTACATCTGTATGGTGCAGGGTATTACGTCGTCGGGCAAAATTGTCTATATGACAGCCATATTTCCGTATGTGGTGCTCATAATATTCTTCTTTCGCGGCATTACGTTGAAAGGTGAGTGTTTAAAGAGCAGAAAATAGAGACGATTAATGAAAAGTTCACAAAAAGTAATTTGTAGTAAACGAAGCGTCAAATAGCGTGTGTACATTCATATATACAAGTATATATGACAATTTGGATGTAGGAATGTATAAGGTATAGGACGATTCACCTCAATTTAACTCGTCATTTCATAATGAACATACTAAGTGAAAGACAAAAAGAATGTATTGGTTCTACCTTCAATATTCGATCATCATATTCGCCCAGCAGCGTCGGTAATTCAGGCAACCATCGATTGGATTAGCACCACGCTTACTCTAGTGGATAATCCGCATCCTCAGAGAAGCCGAACCGAAGATACTGCGGTATGGAATAGTACCGCAGAATACCTGAATTAGTCCATCCGTCATCGCGCCAAACAATTGGAAGGATATTGGTTTCGGGGTTTAGAAAATCCAACTGTTGCAAGAATTGAAGATCACTTTTGGTTGAATGAGTATGAAAGAAACGTTCAAATTTGAAGCGATGATAATCCACAAGTTATGATCGACGCCGTTACATTCTCCATAAGTCACTTTTTGGTGTGATCTATGGGCAGAGGAATCATTGATTAATTTTTTTCTTCAAAAAAGAAGGCGGCATAAAAGTTACCTGACCTGACTTTTTCCTGCCTGAATTGGAGAATGTTGATGTGGATGGGCTTTGGTACAGAAAACGAAGCAATCAATTTTTTAAACGAATCTTATGGTGAGCATATTAATTCACGGCCTCCAAGACCGTACCATTTAACATTATTGGATTACTTTTTGTGGGGTTAAGTGGAATCGCTTGTCTACGCAGATAAGCCCGGGACGATTGACGTTTTGGAAGAGAATCTTTCCAGCGAACAATCTCACACTCTTCAGATACTGACAAGTCAATTGGACTACTAAGTGAAATGATTTGACTCAGATTAATTTTTATGAGTACTACACCATTCCTTATATGTCAGATTAATATACTTAAATCTTCAGGGTATAACTGAGTACCATTCAAACAATTCCTTCCTTCCTTTTCTCCAACAGGCGCCTCAGAAGGTGTTGCACATCTCTTCACGCCGCGCTGGGAAACACTACTTGATCCGGTTGTTTGGCTAGAAGCCGGTACGCAGATTTTCTTCTCTCTCGGACTTGCGTTTGGCGGCTTGATCGCCTTCAGTTCATACAATCCTGCCAACAATAATTGTTATCGAGATGCCATCTTAGTGTCTCTCACAAATTGTGGCACTTCGATGTTTGCTGGCGTTGTCGTCTTCTCGGTGATCGGCTTTAAGGCCACATCAACATTCGATCGTTGCAACGAGGAACGACAAAGCTTGATTGCCCAAAATAGAACTACAAACTTACCAGTATGTGATCTGCAGAAAGAACTGGCGAACGTGAGTTTAAGAATATTTAAATAATGCAATTTATTTAAATAAATTTTAAAAATTTTTGTTTGCAGAGCGCTTCAGGTACTGGCTTGGCCTTCATCATATTCACCGAGGCGATCAATCAATTTCCCGGCGCTCAAATATGGGCCGTGTTATTCTTCCTCATGCTTTTCACACTTGGCATCGATTCACAGTTCGGCACACTGGAAGGCGTTGTAACCTCGCTTGTGGATATGAAGCTATTTCCAAATCTACCTAAGGAATGGATTGTGGGGGTGAGTAAGGCAAACCGGAAAATTTTTGCATGAATTAATTTTTCTGTAACATTCCAGGGTCTTTGCTTTTCCTGCTGTTTAATCTCAATGTGCTTTGCTAACGGCGCTGGGAGCTATATATTTCAGCTAATGGACAGTTTTGCTGGCAATTTCCCGCTTCTGATCATTGCGCTCTTCGAATGTCTGTCGATCAGTTATATCTACGGTGTTAGAAGGTAGGAAAGACTTTAAACACAATCACTTTTACGGCTTTACGGCTTTGATTACATTACTTTACTGTTTATTAATATTTCAGGTTCTCCGACGACATTGAAATGATGACTGGTTCGCGTCCCGGCTTGTATTGGATGTTATGCTGGAAGTATCTCTCACCAGCTGCTATGATTACAATACTGCTGGCCTCGTTCTATCAATTACTCACTGAGGGTAGCAGTTATCCCGCTTGGATAGCCGCTAAAGGACTGACCGAGAAGCTCGAGTGGCCTCATTGGTGCATTGTTATAGCATTTTTCCTTATTCTGTCGTCAATATTGTGGATACCGATCGTGGCGATACTGAGGTATGTCCAATCATCCGTCGCTTTTTTTTATGTGTACTGAAATATGTATTTCTTTGTTTAGATTATGTGGCATTAAGGTGGTGGAAGACACAGATCCTGCTTGGTTCCCAGAAGCCGAGCTCAAAGAGGTGCACGGCATTGTGCCACACGAACCTACCGAAATCGAACGTAGCATATTTTGTTTCAATATGGATGGCACAGAGGGCATGTGCTGTCCAAAATATGGTTTGCCAGAGAAATCGCTCGAAGAAGAGGAGTAAATATACACAAAGGTAAAGGAATAAAGCGTGAAAGGAAAATAATATGAGGAAGGTCACAAATAAGATGAAAGAAAATGAAGTACATATTTATTAACGATTCATACGAAACCGTCGAGAATATACTTCAAACGAAGGAGAGTGGATAGAACAAGCGAAAATTACTAGAACGAATGATCGAAGTGAACAAAATAAGTAAGAAAAGGATGATGTTATCAACAATTTATTTTATAAAAATCTGCATTTTTGGTGTTTTGGTGCGTAAAAATGGTTTGGTAACTCAACTATACAATAATACGTTAAGCATGACATAAATGATATATATATATATATATATATATATTCATATAAATTATACATAAATATATCTATACAAGAGTATATAATATAAGTTAATTCTGTAGAATTAAACTTAAAGACAATAATTTAAAGTAGCGCATTGTTTAGGCATAAGTTTAGACAAGAGAATCTACTTGTAAATATATTAAAGTATTTCTAAAAGTTAAGGACAATAATAATGTTGAGCAAAAGCTACACTGATGCAAATACTTAGCGCCTAAAGGAAAATATATTTTCCATAAACTCTAAGTTATACTAAATAACTCACTTAACTTAAATATTAAGTGACCTCTGAAAAAAAATAATACTCCAAAAAATTATCTAAAATTAGCCACCGATTATGATTCTACATATATGTACTTATACGACCGAGGTTGCCAATGTGTTCTAYTTATTTAAGACAATTATTATTATTTTATTAATTTTAATTTGCACCATAGCCCACTAATGTAGGTTTAATTAATATCGATTTAATCGATAATTATGCCGGGATTGGAATATATTGGTAGCTTGAAAGGCAGCAAATCGTTCCCATTAACTTAAGTTGACTTACGCTACTTACAAGTCTAACCTAAATAATATCCAAAGAATTTTTATTACAATATGTATATAAAAAACATTCTTTGGCATTCATTTTTTATAGATTATTTATTGAAAAGATTGACCGTGGCTACGTTTCGTATGGGCCATTAATTGAGTCCAATTTTCGATGACTCGTTCGAGCATTTCGACTGGTAACTGGCGAATGATGCGTTTGACGTTTTGTTGCAAAGCCTGAATCAAAGCGGGACTGCTCTCACAGCCTCTAGACTTTACATATCCTCAACGGAAAAAGTCTAACGGTCTAATACATGGGAAGTGGCGCTTACTTGTTGTAACCAAAAGTCGAGTTGCAATTTCAGATATCAAATAGTAACGGTCACCATTGACGGTTACGTTCTCAACGGCATCCTTTTCGAAGAAATATAAACCGATGATTCCATCCACCCACAAATCGTTATTTTTTCTGGATAAAATTCCGGCTCTTGAAACTTCTCAGGTTGCTCTTCGCCCCAAATGCGGCAATTTCGCTTATTTACATACTCATTGAGCCTGACATAGGGCACATCGCTGAACAAAATTTGGCTCGAAAACGTCGAACAGTCGAGCGGCTCCATTTGGCATTATCCAAAAATTATCCAGATTTGTTATTATAGTGTTTGAAATCGATTGTTATTTATTTAATATTTTATAATATATATTTAAATATTTTTTGTTTCTCCTTAATAAACCTCGGCCGAAATTCAACACACCAACAGCCTAAGAATATCAACTCGTTAAAGTAAATTAATTTAAAAAATATTGTTAAAAACTAAAAAAAAACTGTTAAAGCGTAAAACCTTTCCCAACTAGACATAGGTTTCACCAAAAGTGTGTCTAAAATAACAACTGACCACCACACCGTAAACGCGTCGGGTAAGGCCAAAACTACTTAAAACGTGCAACTCCACACCGCCCAACATAACATAACCTAGCATAAAATAACATACATACAAAAATGAAGAATGTGCAGGCATTGCTGTCTTGTCAAAATTTGTTTGTTTTTGTAATATTTGTCAACAAAAGGTGTGCAGGAAAGCTGAAACTATCACTGCAGACATGTGTGCGCATATTTGCATTATCCAATACCACTGGAAATGACATATCCTATTGCAAATATTTACATACTCACACACATACACATACACATACATATACATACTAATACGTAAATTAAAATTGTTAAACTTTCAGTTCTATTGTATACGAGAATATGTAAGCACATATAAATATGTATACCTTTAAGCAAACATGCCATTGCTCTCGTTACTTAAATACATAAATTAATAATGAAATTATGAAGTTGGAATATAATTAAGGGATTGTTTTTTTTTTTTTTTTTTTTTTTTTTTTTTTTGTTATATTTTTTTTTTTTTTTTTTTTTTTTTTTTTTTTTTTTTTTTTGTTTTCTCTAATGTAACTCATACCTGGTTGTTCTATACGCTTATACCATTTTTTGACTGCATGTTGTTGTGCGTACAAAATATTATATATTTACACATGTACATTTAATTAGTGACATACTATATGCTTTAGTATACATAAATATAACATATTTAAACATAAGTAGATCTGTATTGCTAAAAGAGACATATTTCTATGAAAAGTTTTAAAGCTAATATTTTTAAAGTGATCAAAGAAAATCAGTAGTAAACAGTCGGTTCTTTTGCCAATACAAATGACAATAATTTTGCAATTTACTTTTGAACTAGTTAACTTAATTTAATACAAAAGGAATATATATTAAGTTGTGCGAAAAGTTGGTCTAACAAAAAGCGACTACAATAATTTTGGATGTCGACTTAGCACCAAAAACTGAAAGCAAAGTCTACCTACCGTTCATAGACGCCTTAAAAGTTGTAGGTGCATTCATTGATGGCATATGATCACAACGTTCATCAAAATAACTTGAAGAATTTACGATTCAAGTGCTGGACAATACCTTACAACATAGAAAACTGAAAAGGTATCACCCGTTAGGCCTTCCCTTTCATTGAATCGAATAAATATAAAATTTAGTTTTATTTAATTTAATTTTACACAATCCGAATATGTGGACTCCGTGGCGTATGACTGACTTTTTGCCGAAAATGTCGATCTATCAGTGAGATATGTTATTGAAATTCAGGGAAAGTGTTTCTTTGTTAATAATATACCCTTGTGTTAAAAATGGGTTAAATGGGGTCAATACTTTCCTTAAGCTCGTATACATAATATAAAAATCTTCAAACTACGGTATTACATATATGACTTCCACTTCATTTTAATGAAATTAAGACAGCGTGTATTAGAAAAATGTGTATATTTAAGCATAAGGATAAGATCGTTGCAGACTACCCTAGATCCGATATAACTAATAAGCCTTATGGACTGAAGATATTGTTGCCTCGGCTTTAATCGGCAATTCGCAAGGGTATAAAATGTTCGGTTACGATCGCACTTAGCCCTTATATATTTGCTACTCAATCAATTTCCAAACTTGTACTAGAAAAAACAATAATTTATTTCAAAACTTTACGCCAGTGCGACGATTTTTCCAAATGTTTACCTAACAAAATTACAGGTACTTAAAAAAGTGCATTTATTTAATATTTTCAAGTTAAAACGACTGTAAAAATCGAAAAATAGCAACAAAAAAACCCTCCTGTCTAAACTTAGAGCAAAGTATCGGGCTTGGGGCTCGACATCTTGTCAAGCAAAATGCTTTCGATTAAATACTTTATGTAGTTACATTAACATTTGATATATACAAAAAAAAAAATAAAAACGATTTGTTCAAAAGTGAAGGCTCATGTCCCCTGTTCACGTCCATGTTCATGTTTTTTGCTCACCAAGGCGCTATTTACTTCACATCCGATTTACTTGACTGTATTCTATCTTGAGATGTGTATTGTAAATAAACTGCATTTTCAACTTATTTTGTTGGCAACAATATACTTTTATGGATGAACATCCAGACAGTTGTAGCATCCAAAAGTTAGTGGTATACTATATGCAGGTTACTAAAAACCCTCCTTTAAGGAATCGTTGCCTACTTTGGAAACGCGGTTGCATTACTTCAGGGTGGCTATTTTTCTCACTGAGAGATTTACATCTGCCCACCTGAGTCCAGGTCTCGATTTTTTCGGCGGAGAGTCTTTTACGGCTGTAAATTCCTGTTGCCATGGCACACATTTAAAGAATGTGTGTTCTGCGTCGTCTTCTGACGCGTCGTTATATAGGCATGATGGTTTTTCGACTTTACTTATTCTATGAAGGTGAAAGAAAGAAACTCATTGATCTCGACGAAGATTTTTTTCTATACCCTAATTTTTTAGTTTTCGGTATTATAGCCTGAAAAAACTATTATTTATCTAAAACAAGTAATAACACCCAATCATATCTAAACAGATAACTAACTGCATAGTAATCTTGTGATCTCACGCTGCACTACTAAGGAATCGTAAATTACATAAAATGTACATATATTTATATGCATCAACTTAAGACAATAAATAAAGGTCATTGAGTAATTTGGAGTTAATAATTCGCATTTGTTAAAAATTTGTCCCAACAAAATAATAATAAAAACCAGAAACGACTATTAAGAGTATTATATAGATATATTATATAAATATAAAGCCAACTTAATCCATTGAACGATTTACAAACATAAATTTTACCATTCACCTGTAAGTGAAAATTATTCATGCTGTGTGTTCGTAAGGAATTTTATTAACCCGTGTATTTGTATTTTATATTTACTGCATTCACATATTCTTGATGTACGCATATAAGAAAGGTCCCAAGGTAAATAATAAATTATAAAAAATAATAAAAATAAAAATAATAATTGATAAAAAAAATAATAAAAAAGTAATAATTAAAAATAATTAAAAATATAAAATGCAACAAAAATAAAATCTTCATGTAACTTTTAAGTAATAAATATGAATATTAAATAATTTGAATAAATATTTTAATTTTTGCGTTTAAGTTAGTACTTAAAAACGAAATAAAAGCCATAAACAACTACATACCTACTAACTATATACACACAAAAAATATGGGTAACCTTAATTACATACAAACATGCATATATATTTGTAGAAAAATGCCTATTTAAATATAATTAATTGTTATTGATGTTGCGAATAAAAATTTACTCCGCAAACAAACACACACACACATGCACACTCTATGATATACACATACGTATACATATAAATGTGTCTAATCGATTTACAAATGCGTTAAGGTGTTGATTGCTTTTAAACATAAACAAAATATATTCAATTGTTAGTATTTTAATGAAGATTAATATATATACTAAACTTATGCATACAAACCGAAATTTATTTATTTAGCAATGTTCGATGAAATGTTGTTTTGAGTGCTTGGTTCCATGCTTTAGTTGTTGAAATGTTGAAATATTCACACATATGTACATATATCTACCTAATGCTCTCCAAATTGTATTTATATACAAACATACATACCTAATAGTATAAAATGCAAGCACTTATATACATACAAGTACATACAAACACGCATATATACAAGTACTACTTATAAACGAAAGCAATGCAATGAGTAACACTAAATTGTATTTATAACTGTATAAATAAAAGTGAATGAGAAAGTGAAAAATACTAAACTATATACTAAAGACAATAAAAGAAAATGAAACAATACTTATTGAATTAATAAAGATAAGTAATTAAGAAACCTCTTTCAATTGCATTGTAGGAAAAAGCAGAGATGTAAAACTTTGAACCATTGAAGAGAGGTTTCCAGAAATATTTTAGCACACCTCATCTGTTTTTATATTAGAAGGAAGAATCGAAATCCGGAGTGCGGAACTTTAATTCACTAAACCTCACCTACTGGCAAATCAAGACTCTCCCACGGAACCATCGAATATGTATTACTTTGTTGGAGTGACAGAACATTTTGAGTCACAAGAGAAGAGTGTGAACTAACGGAGGCCTAATCTGTTGAAAAAGTCTCAATTCTGTCATTACTGAAGCTGACGCTTCGCTGACAGCTTTCAATTTTTCAGTGGACTGACTGACGCTGACAGCTTTCCATTTCTCAGAGTACTGATACATCAGTGTCGTCAAATTTCTTCCCGTAAAACTAACACCGAGTGTAATTTTTAGATTTTTTCTTGTATTTAAAAAGCGAGAGTTTAAAATAATACATGTTCACAGTCTTCTATACAATCTCTACACGTCGGACAGTTCGGACTATCGTTGTGGGATCTGTAGAGGTAGCTTTTTAAGCACCAGTAAGTATTGGGGTCAATTCACGAAATATTCACGATTGGATGTCCGGTATTAATCTGTGAGTCCATCGTCTTTTGGTTGCTCCTCTCCTCTGTCTCGCTCGCGTTCTTTTTCCTGAATGTCAATGGCATACTGGCTAATACTTTGGCAGTGTTTCGGAAAGCTGAAGTGTACGCCAAGTGCTCCTTAATTTTTCAAGTCTTGAGTCTTAATTACGCCCGGATACGTAATTGTGGCTGTAAAGTAATCTCGCACTAGCACTATTAGCTTCATATCTGTTGGTTACTATCTTCTTAATACTTCGTACTGATAATCCACTACTACATTGGCGTATGCATCATTCACCTGTTTATAGTCTAGATTGTGCCACGTTGCTCTCCACCTGATATTTTCGACGGAGTAGAGGTTTTCCCTTTTCTCTGCTTTCTCCAACGGGTACCATCGCATCGAACTCCTTCAATGATGGAGTCCATTCATGAACTAGTCTACTTATTCGCTGAATTATGTCAACATCGTCGTATAACTCGGACAGATCGTTAAATCATCTGCGGTATTAGCCATCACCTATGTTCAAAGGACAGCAAACCTTTCGCTCGACGATTTCTAGTATTGTCTCAACTCGATGTCCTTCCTAATTGACTGCGCTAAAGGTATATAGGCCGTATATATGTATGCCTTAAAAATGCCGTTCTTTTCCGTGCTGTCCAATGTGGCTTATATGGTTGATGGTTTTTATACCAGATTTAGACCCACAGCTGATAAGATCCAATAATTCCGTAGACAGTGGACTTTAATCTCTCACATTGAAACTTTAAACACGTATTCTCGTTTCAGAGTCGGTGTAGAAATTTTCTCACGACCTTCTTTGATATAATTACCAGGTAATGATCGAGGATATAAGATTTTAAATAATAATTTTTTAAAATCAAAATATTGACTAGTCTCTCGATCATTATAACTTTAAGAAGAAGGTTGTTCAAAAACCACATACAAATTAAAAATTTACTTTTATTTTTCAGAACTGTATTTATTTTATTTTATTCTTTTTATTCAACATAAGTAATATAGTACTATCAACGAAATCATACATTTGTATCTTCCGTTTTAGGCTCCAGGGGAATCTCTTTAGTTTTCTCCTTCTTTTTATTTGACTCCCGTCGTTTTTTATGCTTATTGGACTTTAGATGTAAATGCCACTGATATTCTCCTATAAAATGCCGTTGACAAATCTCACAGAAGTTGCTAGTCTAAAAATAAGGCCAATACAGGAAAATACTAGAAATATATAAAGAACGTTTGTAATCTATTTAAGAACAATTTTAAGTACAAATCTCCCTCTAATCCGCTGCCAATGAGTACTTGATTTTCGAGTATCGATTATAAGTACCATACTTTATACCATAAAAATGTCATTTCATGAAATCTATGTATATCACATTTTTCTTAAGAGAGTGTATCTTATTCTGCTGTTATAAGTTTGAAAAGAGCTATCCCACCAAATGTATTCAAGCCAATTTAGTGTCTTACTAAACCATGTGGCAATGTGGAATATACATAGAAATTTGTGTCTAGTATAAAAATAAAGTCCTTGCCTCTGGCAAACTTACCTCCTCATTGAGTCCCGCACCCGGATGTTGACGCCGCGCCATTGGCTGTATCTCACAGATCTCAGCTCTGCGATGGCTTTCGATGACCGTCACAGCACGCTCGTATACTTCTGCTGGCCACAAGTTAACATCACTCGTATCGAGTTCATACAAATTGGGCACTTGACGATCCTTACTGGCCAAAAAACGATTATTTATCCACTTGATTTGCTTCTTGGAGTAGCGTTGTGTGACCAGTTTTAGCTCATTCAAACACGCGTTTAGCACCTCGAGGCCAGCGGGCAAAGGTGGACAAGTAGTTGTTGTATCGGCATCTGTCGCTGCCTCCAATTCTAATTCAATTTCTCTATGCATGTCGTGCTGCTGTGGCGGCTGTTGTGATTGACGTTCGCATATATGTTGGCTTTGTTTGTGCTTCTGAACTGGTGTTACGTTTATTGAACTCGGCTTTTGTGCTTTGAAGTGCTCTGCATGGGAATGATATAAGTTATTGTGCAATAAAAAAATTATGGCCATTCAAATGTGAGCATAAAAAATATTAAGCGTAAAGTAAGAAAATGTGATGGTCTCTCATCTCTATTATGCGAATGTGTGTGGGAAAAATAGATCTCTTAGATACTGGAATGGCAAAGAAATCTTTCAAAAAGTTGATGCAAATTGGGAATTTTTCGGTTGAAGATATAAGTACATATAGACATGAAAATTCAATTTGAGTAAGTGTCTACACGGTAAAAAAAAACTGGGATCTAAGTACAAAGTAGTAAAAACTTGTTTGAAATATACATTTGAGTTAGGTCACTTATTTCATTTCATCCTTCATGCAACATCATACCTCTGAGAACAATTCTTACAAATATCTAATAAAAGAATTGTTTCTCGATTCGACGTACCAAGGAAGGGAGAAGGAGATTAGCTGAACATTATAATTACCGATATTGCGTCTGTATTTTATGCTTTGTAAATGGCAAAATTAGAGAAAGCCCACAACCAAACTGTACCGCCATGACAAAGAACGCCTCCTCTGAAAAGACCCCACCTACGTACCTCATAAGTTGGGCAAAATGTTTTTGGTTTTTCTTAATAAAGAAGGATGTATCCTATCGGAAATAAGAAATTCTGTAAGTCGCTTTATTCTTTCTTTGGCAGAAGAACTTTGCAAACGCGCAAGTACTGTTGATTATTCAGCGTTGCCTGAGTTTATGAGAGGTGCTGAACTGGTTCCAAGAGCAATGGAACTCCAACCCTTTACTAATAAGGTAATAATACAACATGTCTTATGAGAAAGTCCTTTCAGGCAAGCACATAGTTTCCAAAGATTCTTTTATGATCGTCATTCCTTGCAGAGCAATCGATGTAGGTCAGAAAAAGCCAATTCCCAACTCATTTTAGGTATATGTGACTTCTGATGTGTCAAACTAACTCCTTCTACTGTTTCTGTTAGACGACCAATTGGGTAGTTTTTCATATGAGAAATTCACACATGCGGATTTCGACTTTATGAGCAACACTGGTTATCAAAGGAGTTAATATAGTAAAGTTCTTCTGACATACTTGCTCTCAAGACAACCCTATCCACCATAAAGATTATAATCACCATTTTCTGAGATTCACAAGCTGAGATTTACATCGACTATTTCGGTAAAGAAGCAAGGAGGATTACAGTGCTCTGCTTTGTTGAAATATTGAGCTAATTCAACGCTGAAAAAACGGCCCATATGGTAGAAATAAGCATACTCTTTCTCCACGACGACGTTACAGTTTACACTTTCACTTTTTTGTTTCCATACTTGGAAGAAAATCATTCGCCGGACAGAAGAGGGCCTGCTTTGCATTGAATTTAAGGGGTTACATAGGTTTTCTCGGGTAAAAATAATCTTATTTCAATCATTGTTTCTCATACAAAAATTCAAATATTTTATTAGAATTTTGTATCGTTAAAACATCTTACATGATTCTGAAATTTTTTTAAAAAAAGTATTTTAAACTCGGCCATTACGACGTCATTTCCGGTGTCCGCTCGGAAAAAAGATGCGGCCACGTTGGCAGGATAGCTCCTTACAGGGTCATTTAAAATGAAAAAAGCGTCTTTAGGTAAAACTTTATCTTAGAACTTGGAATAAAGAAAAAAAAAACTAAAAATTATATTTTTGGCAGACATTTAAAAAAAAATTAAAATTTCAGTGAAAATTTTGCGACATGTTTTTTTTTCAAATAGTTGCAATCGAAAAAAATCCTTCGTCCAAGTGGTTATGAGTTGTATCCCAAAGATCTGTGTAAAATTTCGTTAAGATCGGTTGAGTACTTCTCGAGACATCTTGCCAACCGACTTCAAAAACATAGTTTCACAAGTTCTCAAAGCTGTATCTCCGAAACTATTACTGGGATCAACTTGAAAATTTCGGACAATATGCTAGAGGTGTAGTAGAATTTAATAAGGCAATTAAAAACGATTTTTTTTTTGAATCCGGTAAACCCATGTGACCCCTTAAAGAAGTATGAACATCGCTGGGTCAAGTGCATCAAGCTAAAAGGAGACTATGTTGCAAAATAAATCGCCGTTTTGCAAAATTTTCGTTTTTCTTTGGCACCGCCCTCGTGCAAACATATTAAAAACCTAGGTCCAAATAACCGAAGAAACCAAATATCCGAACCGAATTTTCCACCATATAACTTAAACTTATCAAATAATTTTTTCTAGTGTCAAAACTGAATGAAATTAAAAATGCCAAAAATTATGTGGCATTAAGTAGTAGGAAAAAAAGAAACGAGATCATTGTATAAAATTACCTTCCGTTGGCATTTTATACGCATTCAAGCGTAAGTACTCTTCAATTTTCTGATCATTTGCCGCATTAAACTGCTCCAAGTAGGGTATAAATTCTTTGAAGCCTATTGTCTGAAGTACGCCACGCGTGTACGCTGCAGAATTGTCGGTTTGGCTGTAGAGAGGAGAACATAATGAGTACGTACTTGCTAATACAAAAAAATGTACAAATGTAAATACAAGTTTTTTATAACAAAACATACATACATACATATGTATGCATTTACAACAAACAAGCTGGCCAAAGTTCTTCGACACTTTGTAGGAAATTGCACAACTTTCGTTTCAATTATCGAACGATTAAAATGATTAATGGTTTTTGGCGCTTTTTTGCCAAGTATACTATATATAGTATATGTATATGTTAAATTTGTAAGTAGTATATAAACATTATTATAGATTATATTTAGATATCTCCGGATTTTCTGCAACTTTTTGTACAGAAATTACTCTATAGCATTTGTTTACCTTTTATCAATGTTGTGTTCGTTGTGAAATGCACGTATCTCAGCCAAGAGACCTTGTTCGAGCATAGCGTCGACACGCTTGTCCAAACGCGCGTTGAGCACATCCTGAATGGGAGAGCGAGAGTGAGAGAAAAATGAGTGATCATATAAAAAAATTATGCTTATAGGTTAATTCGTAAAGTGGCAAATTGAAAATTATATCGGTAAATTAGAATTAATATTATAGTCCGTGCCTGCCAACCATGATAAGTAACCGAAACTAAATATGTAATAATTATAGGCTTATTGGTTAACACCATGCTCTATATTTTAAACACCATATATTAGCTATAATTAACAACATTACAACTTCCTGCAGATCATTAGCTCTAATTGTGCGCTCTTTCAACAAGGCGCTAACACTCACACACACGCGCGCAGCAATTAAGCTCATGGTGTTTTGAAAAGTGTATCTATTGGATATTGTTTTTGGCAGGCGTGTCTGCTAAGTAGTCTTTTGAATAACACTTGAAAACTTCAGCAATTAATGAGCACTGATCGATGACTGAAATATATAAACATTACATTAAAGTCCACCGAAATTTCCTAAAGCCCTTTTTAGAGCACAATTGTAATTGTCGCTTTAAACACATGTACCATTGATGTATGTATGTACGAGGGCGACTCTATAATAATTTAGTATTTTATAATTATTTTTTTTTAAGTTTTTTTGATGCAAGACTAATAAAAATATAATTTTTCTTAAGCAATACAGTTTATATCCCGATGATAAAAACTTACAGCAAGCAAGCTAGCAAGCAGTCACCGATCTCAAATTACTGTTTAGAAATGCTCAATTCCAACAAAAACTCAGTCGTCAAGCTCTTATTGACATTATCCAACGGTAGGTCCAAGAAACGTAATGTTTCGACGGAATCAGATCAAAGGGAGAGCGTTGTCAGAACGTGTAGAGTTAGCAGAGTATGCAAAGAGGTGGCTGGTGTCATTCGGGGACTCATTGCGCGCCGCACATATATTCTGGAATTCTGGATAACTAGAAGTTTAATCTGCTACAGTATCCAGAACGAAGCTGTGCAAGGGTCACTCTCGTTTCACGCGGCAACTCGAGCTCTACGTCTGTAATGGATGGGGGTTTGACTCCAAGTACGCCATTCACTGAGAAGGAGTCGGTGAAGGTGTTTATGGCACCAATGTGAATGGTGGTTATTGCATGTCTGCAGTTTGTTGCGTCCGAAGCAATGTGATTTCTGCGAAAGCGCCCCAGAAAAAACTGYTTGTAAGGGAGTTAGTTATGCTCCTTAACTGGGAATATGTGGGTTTCACTGTGCAGGTGTTCGAGGGGAGACATCAAGAGGCATCCTATTCTGACATGTTTGTAGCTTCTTCGGCTGCGTTTCAATGCATCCAGGAGCCCATATTGGTGCGGCTTACATAAGACCCGTCGACCGATTGCCTTGTATGTTACCAAAAACGTTTCTTCGGCAATAATCGCGGTCGTATGAGAAGTGAAAGAGCACATGCTGTCGAAAGTCACACCTAAAATCTTAGGGTTATTGACAGCCATCGACTACAATATTAAGGTAAAGTTTGTACTCTTTCGTCCAGTTTGTGAATCTGGTCGTTGTGGATTCACGGGGGACGAGTGTTAGATTTCGTGCAGCGAGAAAGCGAGAAAGGTCGGAGATTCGCGATATGGAAATTAAACAGCAACGGGGAGAGAACTCCGCCCTGCGGTATCCCCTGTTTAATTTTCCTCAGTTTGGAGTTTTTACCTCGAAATAGTCTGGATGATAAACGACGGCTCAGGTTCCTGATTAGTCGTTTATAGTGCTTTCCACCAGAATAGCACGGACTTATACCACCAGGCAAGTATTTTCAATTCAACATATTTCAATAAACCTAACAGATCTTATATGCCGCCAGACATACTCCACAACTTTCATTACTTTTCTTGGATACAATAAAATAACCACTTTTTACTGAGCTTCGATGATTTTTATCTAAACAATTACAAAAAATTCCTCAAGCACTGATCTATCAAATGATTTATCGAACTACCCTACTATAAACATAAGCATAAATATATTTTAATATACATGTCAGCAGTTGCAGCACATGCCCTGCAGAGATACAAAATCTTCAGCATTGCCGGTGTGTTATGAGGCACGTGTACCTAATGACTTTTCCACAAATATTTATATTAAATTGGCGGCAAGAAATGGTAGAGTGTCGGATGTTACAAAAATCATAACAACACAATTACAAACAAAAGAAAATATTTTTAGTGTATATTTATTTCTATGAAATATGTATGCAACAGTTAATGTATCCGCCCAGAAGAAATGGAATTATGAAGGATTTTGGATTTTCAATTTTGGTTGACATTGTCTTCTAAGTGAGGCTGTTTAAATATAATGATTTCAGCCTTCACAGTCTTCCAAAGCAAAGCGGTTAGCTGTCATGTAATTGTTTATGTTATGATTACATTTAAGGAGAAGTTTGTTCAGTGGGGTGTTATGTCTTGAAAATTAGCATGCATTGAAAACCAAAAACTAACACTAGTTAGTAAAATTCAATCCCTACAGGGCTCCACACATGTTTGCCTACTAAAGCTCGTAGCTGCCACAAAAACTTGACTGGACACACGTAGACACTGTGTGTTTATCAATATGTTAGCATAAATTAGAACAGATTTTTTTAAACAAAAATTTTATTTGTTTATACTCGTATATGTATCTATATAATAATAGCTATTATTCAATAATATTTCAGCGCTCCTCTATGTGTGTTTTGAAGAGAATTTATAGTATGCTGCATAGACTTATATTTTTATACCCGAACATAGTGACGAATGCTAAGGTAACATGATATGAACAAGCATAAATCTAACAGTGGAAGGGTCCATATGAATATACGGTTGATCAGGAAAATCTAAATAATAATAATTTTTTCGAAATCCTGTAAATTTTGGTTTGCAGGTGCAAAGGTGGTAAATTCCAGAAAAAGTATTAGACTTTTGTGGAAAATTTTTTATTTGATAGAGTCTTTACGAAGTTTAACATATGTACATAAATTATTTAAATTATTATCAAAGGTATCACTATGTTTTCTGAACAAATTGATGAGATCGAATATCTATAGCCTATAGTTAAACGCTTTGAAGCTGTAGAAAAGGCACCAGTGAAGGGTTTTATAACTTCAGGAAGTTTTCTTTGTTTGTCTAAAAATTTACTTTTTATTCAAATTTCAAAGATATCTGTTTCATAGTACAAACTGTGATCGATTAACAGATGAGTTGCACTCACGCTGGTAGTCTGTGTGTTTTTGCTCAAAGATCATATGTGATCGCACGCAATTCTCCTAAAATCTGCCGTGATTTTAGGTACTTATACATATTTAAGCAAGTTTAGCTGATCTGAAGTGCTTAACTTGGTCAACTTGTTATATCATCAGCGAATATTCAACCACACTTTTGACCTACTTTTTCTATTAAAACCCCCAGCGATTGTCTCTTTTTTTTTTAGTAAATATATTTGTTTAAGTTAACTACTCGTATAATAGAAATCCAAAAAAGATATGCATTAGTCATAAAAAAAAAATAATAATAAATAAACAAAATACGTAAGGAGGCGCTAAGTTCCGGTGCAATCGAACATTTTATACTCTTGCATCTTGCAAAGCTAGGGAAATACCTTAAAGTGAAAATGTCAACCAGAGGATCGAAACCCAAGCAATTTTATATACACGAATATTCTATATAAGTAACTCATACACTGACCGTTATATTCGGCATACGGTTTATAGGGAAACGAAAATTATTATATGTAGTTTATGGTGTATCGACCTGATTTTATGTGTATATATTTGCCAACACCAGACGTTATTGACAAGCCACATACTAAAAAAATATTCCCCGGGTTTCATTAAGGTACCTCACCTACAACCATCAATTTTGTGGAGTAAAGTCACCTGTATGTTCGAAAACTCTTTTATTAGTTATATAGAACTGGGCCAAGTTTTCATCCAATTGTATTTATTTTAGGCACAAAGATAAACTGTTATGAGTAAACCACGATCTCTCATTTTCATCGAAATAACTCAAATATTGTCCGATAATTCCATCATAAAGTTACCTGGAGGTTCGAAAATCTTTAGATTGGGTATATGGGGGTTCAGGGAAGTACTGCCCCAATTGAACCAATTGATGATAAGGAGATACTATTGTCAGAATAGGATTCTCTCTGAATTTCAATTCATAAATTAACTGATATTTTCGGTCAAAAGTCAACTGTAGGTACTAGGGTCCAAATTTTCGGTACCTAGTGGCCTCAACAGCTTTAGTTGAATTTTCTCTGTTATATTAATTGCTTCTTGATTTAGACATTCGAAAGAACATAATCAGGAGCATTTTCAAAGTATGTTATATTGGAAGTACGCATGATTGTTGTCCGATCTCTCCCACTTTCGCACTGGGACATAGGAATATAAGTAGGCCACTAACATCGTCCAATTTTAAATCCGGCTCCCTCTCATACCATCTTGAAAGTAAAATATAATATAATGCTTGCGTTTTGTGGGCGTGCTGCAAACTTACTTACTTCTTAACACGTCTACCAAGTATCATCAAGATATCCTAATTTTCAACCAAGTTGCAGCTTGCACGCACGGACGGACAGATAGAGAGACAGTCTCCCGGATTTCAACTTTTCCCCCATCCGGATCTTTTATATATACATAACCCTATATCTATCTCGATTAGTCTTAGATGATACATACTTCCGTTAGGTGAACAAAACTATTACTAAACTCTGCAACAACATGTTGCTAGAGTATAAGAAAGTTTAATACATTTTTCGTCAATTCTGTTGGTCATTGGCTTCAAAGTTTTTTATTTTAATTTATGGTATTTTTTAAATTTTTTTTTGGTTGATAATGAATTTGATAAGGTTCCAAGTGCTTGGAAGGCGTTTGTTTACCACTTGACAACCGAGCAATGGCATCACCTTTACATTTGTTGAATTCCTTGCCGCCGCTAATGCTAATGAATGCTTGCTGCCAAGTCGCCAACAAATATCTTATCAGTTTGTTCTAATTTTCGTATCTAA